GAACAAAAGTAAGAGAAATTTAGGATTAGAATACGAACGTTCTTACATGAGGCCCAATGTTTTGAGGGAGCTGAAGAAATTAATAGTTTTATTTTGAACAAAACAATACATTTTAAAAAAATGTAAAAACTACAAAATGAAACGTCCCGGCACACTATTCTCAATCAGCTGAATGTTTCATGAACAGTCCAAACAGCACCACACATGTGAAAGGAGAACCTTCAAACAGCAAACAAAGGTTTGGTGTCTGTTCTGTGTTTTCACAGATGTTTGTTATGAAGTGTGACAGAAGAATAAATCTGCAGAAGGTCGAGCTTGATTTTAATCTTTGATGCAACACTGACAGCAGCATCCAACACATTGGATTCCGTGTGCACGTGTGATTCTGTTCGATCACTGTGATGTTCAGCTGCCTGAATTTGATTTTTATTTTTATAGCTGTCACTGCGACTCTCCTCAGCACGCCAACAGACCACGCAGTCTGGAATAGACCTGGAAGGGATCGTTGTGTAAATTTTCCAAACTCTGAGGATANAAATCTATGATTAAAATCTTGAYCATTAACCTTTAGAATCAGTTTTGTCTGTTAGCAAAATATCTCATGAATCACTGAGAGAACTTTAATAAAACTTTCAGGAAGTAATCAATGGATGTAAATCTACAACTGATTAACTTTTGGACTCAGCTTAATTGAAATTGCCCACCACAGCCGACTGAACTTAAAAAACACAATAGTGGCTGAAAGTCAGTCAATTTTACGAATATTGAACTAAAGTTTGGTATGGTAGTCGCTGACAATCGTCCCAAACACAAACATCAAGCACAACACATTGTGCACATCTTTGGCATTAGTTGTTGGAGATGACCTCACTTGTCTGTTAGCAAAATATCTCCTGAAACACCTGRGCGTCATTCACAACATGTGCTTCAACCACTTAAAATATCACTAGCTATAGAATTTTTATCTTCCTTTTATTTTCTGAGTCAAATTTTGGTGCAGTTTTGTTTCATCCCTTCACCGTCCATTCTACATGTTGCACAGATTGCTGAGAGAACAATTGTCACTGGATTGATGGGTGAATGGACAATTAAAGGACAAACAGGAACTACTGCGTGAGAGATAAATGATAGTTTTATGATGTTTTCTGATGGAATTTTAATGGACAAAAACATAGGAGAAAATATATCATTACTCTACAACTTTTGTTTGATTCCATCCTTTTTTCTATCAGTCCTCGTATTTGTGGTCACTCCTACCAGAGAAGCAACATGCTCGCATTTTCTATCCAACACCTTTTCCGCTTCTTAGAGAAATTGAAAGAAAAAAAATGAGTAGATCAATGCGTTCCGCCTCTTTATTCATCCAGTCTGAATGAGCAGACAGTCTCAACCGATCGGAGCGTGTGGGCGTGTGTTCAATAACCACCGCCTCATTCACCGCCAGGCCTTCATTAGCAGAAACATCAAAGCTCGAGTCGAGTCTTTAATCAGCAAAACTCTGATAAAAGCAGGAGGAGAAAAATATCACATCAGAGAGAAAATCTCCACAACTTCTCCAGCTTTGTCTCAAAGCTTTTATTCTGCATTGCCCGCCACCTTGCGTGCCAAGGTTTTGAACTAAGAAGTGATCCGTTGGTGCTGTCAGCTACTGCCACATTGAAATTTAGCTCACTCTTATGTTCACTGCCATTTTTGTGCAGGCTAAAGTTGATCTTGAATTGTATTGACTCCGAAAGGTAATCAGCTGTAGACCAGCCTGTAAGGATTACCTACCAAAAAGTTTCATTACATTATATTCACTGGTTCATGAGATATTTTTCTAGACTGTGCTAGACTTGTTCAGATCATACCTCTCAGACCGCTCTTTCTCAGTCTTATTAGGCCAATCATGCACTGACTCAGCCAAACTCACATGCGGAGTTCCACAGGGTTCCATCCTGGGCCCAATTCTATTCCTGCTGTACATCCGCCCCCCGACTGAGGTCATCAAAAATTTCCCAGATGTTTCCTATCACTTTTTTGCAGATGACTTGCAGTTATACTGCTCCTTTAATGACTCCACCTCCCACAAACTAACTTCTCTCATAAATTGTGTCACTAAAGTTAACCAGTGGCTGTCTGACAACTTGCTGCTCCTAAACTTTAGCAAGACAGAAACCTTGATCCTGGCCCCTGAAAATAAAATCCCTAAGATCAAAGAACATCTCGGCTCCTTGAGTTCAACTGTCCAGCAGAACGTGCGCAACCTGGGAGTAAATTTTGACTCAGATCTCTCTCTAGATAAACACATGAATCTGGTTTCCACATGTTACTTTCAGCTTTCTAATCTTTCTAAACTTCAGCCCCTACTGTCCACTTCAGACTTGGAAATGATACTTCACGACTTTATGCATAGATTATTGTAACAGCTTCTTCACCTGCCTAAACCAGAAACAGCTTAATTGCCTTCAGCTTGTCCGAAACTCAGCAGCAAGACTCCTAACTCGAACCTCCAAATTCACCCACATCTCCCCGATCCTATCAGAGCTTCACTGGGTTCCTGTTCACTTCCGAATCAGGTTCAAAATTCTGGTTCTCACTTTCAGAGCTCTCCATGGCCAAGCGCCCGACTACATTAAAAGTCTCATTTCCCCTTACAACCCCACACTGCAAAAACTGTCCATCTTACCAAGTTTTAAAATCTTATATCAGCCAAAAAGTCTTTTTGATCTTGTTTTGAGACTGATTTACTAAACAAGAACTGATTGTGTAAGAATAATAATCTTGTTTTCAGAATGTGTAAGATTATTTGTCTTGTCAACCTGAAAATTTGACTCAAATTAAATCAAATTTCTGCCAATGGAGTAAAAAAATTTTACTTGATAAGATTCTAGAAACACTTGATTTGACTCAATTTTTTCTTATTTCAAGAATCCTATGAAGTGAAATTTTCTTACTCCATTGTCAGAAATCTTTGACTTAATTTGAGTCAAATTTTCAGGCTAATGACAAATAATCTTACACATTCTGAAAACAAGATTATTATTCTTACACAATCAGTTCTTGTTTAGCAAATCAGTCTCAAAACAAGATCAAAAAGACGTTTTGGTTGGATATAAGATTTTAAAACTTGTTTAGGTGGACATTTTTTGCAGCGCGGACGCGAGCTACGCTCACAGAATCTCCTAATGGTTCCCCACAGTCGCTTTAAGACTTGCGGTGACCGTGCCTTCTCCTCTGTGGCCCCCAGGCTCTGAAATGACCTCCCTGTTAATCTGCGCTCCCTTGATAAGTGTCTCTTTTAAGAAACACCTAAAAACCTGCTTTTTTACTCAAGCTTTTAGCTAACCATTCACCATTAATTGCAGCCTAACCCTTTAGTGACCTGCTCGCCAACCATGTGTTTTTTTGTTGTTTAATTTTTAATATGGCATAAATTTCTTCTCTCCCCTCATTTTTTTAATTCCTGGTCCATTTTTCTTATTTTGATTTGTCCAGTCTTGCATACGTAACACTCATCTCTGCCTCCAACCTGTCTCTGAGTTAGAATTTAGAATTCATTCTTCTTTTTTGATGTTTTATGATGTTGTTTATGTTTTATTATGGTTTATTATGTCTTTCTGCCATTATACATTGTTGATGATTGTACAGCATCTTGTGAATATATTTCTATGAAAGGCGCTTTATAAATAAAACTACTTACAAAAGTGATTCCAACAGTTAGTGACCAAGGTTTTAAACACAGATTTTGTGTGATCTGTAAGCACTCAGATATAGATATAACTATTGAACTACTTGCTGAGTGAATCAAGAAGGCATGTTTTATTTAAAGAAAAAATGAAGAAACTGAAAGAGTTTTAGTCACTGGATGACTTAATTCCCAATCTGGACTGTGAAATATTTATAAAAAAAAACATTTGTAGCTCTTATTTCATCCTAAAATGTCAACTGCACAGATTTGAGGAAATGACCTCAGTGTCCACAATTGTTGCTGGACACAAGTGAGGATGTGAACTCGCAAACAAACAGAGAAGTCGGCCTCATTTGCTCCATCACTGCTCGTCGTCTGAAGACAAAGAGATGTGGCGAGCGACGGGGTGGAGTCTGCGACTCGTGCCGCCGCTCAAGCAGCGAGGACCCCCTCCAGATAGAATGTAGGTCAGAGTCGTTCAAACGTTTCTGCATCGACCAAGCATAAGGGAAGACACTTGTGCTCCCACCCACCTCCTGTCTTTGCATGAGTGGAAATCAAACATCTAGATGTGATATTTTGCTTCGGGTGGAGCCTTGCATGACCACTGACCCATATATTCTCCCTCTCTCTGGTGAGGCGCCTCGTTGCCATGGTGCCAACAGCAGCAGATGCAGAGCGAGGACGATGGCGTGCAAGTTTCCAGGACAAAGAAAATCTGTGTCAGGCAAGATTTCTGGCTTGTCATTTAAGAAAAAAAAATGCATAAATTATATATTTATTTAATAAAAGGCTGGGATGTTCCTCTGTGATTAGATGAAGACATGAAGCACCTCAGCTGAGTGCGTCTCCTGCTTGTGCCAGTTTCACATGAAGCTGCCTCTGCTGCTGATTCTCGCACTAAAGACAGAGCTTCCCATCAAATATTCAAGACTTCACATGAGAGGAAACACTCGAGCTGCAAGGCTGCAACTCTTCAGTAGAAGCAAGTCGGCTCGGTCCGAAACTCCCTCAAAAGCAAGACGAGACAACAGAGGGAAATAAAGTCCTGTCAGCCACTGTCTTTTCTTTAAAACGTGTTAATGCTCAGAGTATGTGTTTATGGTGACTTTCAGCTACTACCACCTAAGGTTTACCTCATTATCTCTCATTTTGATAAAGTTACAGCCATTTCCATGTTGGTATAATTCAACTAGCTGTGTAAAGGTGTTGCACAATGAGTAGAGCTCAAAATATGTAACACACTTCCAGTGACAACCATGCCAAATTTAACCCAATATCTGTAAAATTTACTGAATTATAGCCCTGTTTGTGTTTGCTAGTGTTCATTAGCTGTGACAGTCAACTTAAACTGGATGGGCTCCAAGATTCAATCAGTTGAAGTTGTGTATCCAGAGATTATTTTCTAGAAGATCTATTAAAATCAGTCCATTAGTTCGTTAGATATTTTGCTAACAGACTGACTGAGGTGGCGCCAACTTAAAAACAAACAATTTAGTCCAAAATTTATTGCAACACATTTTGTCTGATTAAATGATGGGGATGATACTCAGCTATAACCACGTCAAATTTTGGCACAATATCTGTAAATTTGACTGAATTATAGWCATTTTTGTGATGGCTAATTTTGATAAGCTGTGGTAGTCAACTTAAACTCTATTGAAAATAAAATGTGATCAGTTGAAGATGTATATCCATAGATTAATTTCTGTGAGCTTCATAAAAATTAGTCCATTGGTTCTTTAGGTATTTTGCTAACAGACAAACTGAGTTGATGCCAAATTTAAAAAACAAAGAGTTTAGGCCAAAATATAATGCAACATAGGGCGCTTGGGTTAAATGTTAGAGATAAAACCCAGCTACTACCATCCCAAATTTGAGCACAATATCTGTAAAACTGGCTGAGTTATAGCTATTTTTGTGTTTCATTTTGGGTTAGCTGACAGCCATAGTAAATCAGATTTGCTCCAAAGGTTTATCAGTTGTCGGTGTGCAACTGGTGATTAATTTCTGAGAGTTTCATTTAAATCTAACCAGTAATTCAGGAGATGTTTTACTGAAAAAACAGACACAGGCGAAAACATCATCGCAGCTTTTCTGGGCTGCAGGTGATAATTAAAGACAACGCTGCCACATAAAGCTGCACTGTGCCCAACACGGCTTCATGTTTCCAGCAGAGCGTCTCTCTGGTTATGGTGTCTGTGAATAGCAGAGTGGAGCCGAACAAAGACGCTGATTGTTTTTCTGTCTCTGCACCACCAACGATCCACAGACAGGGGGGCGGGGGGAGACCTCTGATCCATCATCTGCAGCAGCAGGTCTTGTTGTCACAAAAAGGTGCAATAAAAACACACACACAAWWTTTTTTTTACAAAATCCAAGAAATTCACAGATAGATTATCGCCCACCAATGAATACTCTCAGAATTGGCTCCACAACTGATCGTCAAAACAGGTGCTTTTCAGTGAATTTTACAAATATTGAGGTAAAACTTGGTGGTCATGCCCCACAAACTGAGCACTAACGAAAGCTCATAAAATGCATCATAATACTGTGYTCTGTGTTGGTATTTATTTTTGAAAGTCAGTGGGAGACGTGCATTCCTTCAGGCCTGCTTTATTAACAGAACAAGAAGTTTTGCCTTTTAAAGGGAACAAATCGTGCAACACACGCTTTTTTAGCTGTTAAAAACATTTCGTTGTGTACTTGGGAGTTTTTAGGAGTGAAGAAAATTTTAATTTAGTCTCTCCCAGTGCTGCGTAGATATCTTCATGTTTGGGCCATATTTTTTTAAACTTGTTCAGTTTTCTGTATTTTTTATTACATTTTCTGAACTATTACAACAAATTATTTGCGACTGAACTGCCAATTAAGGTCTAGACTTATACACATTGCTCTGGATTGACAACACTTTCAATTCATTTGTGATCTTTTTATTTAATTTGTTCCAAAAAAATCTATGCTGCTATGTAGTCATAAACTCCTCTATCACGTTACAATGAACTGCTCTGGAAACTGAAGGGGACGGGGTGTGAAGAGCCTTTTTTGGATTTAAAGGGGCAGCCTCAAAACAAGTCGATCTGAGATACACCTCGTGAAAGAGGGGCTTGTGGAGTTACAATGAGGAGGAATTCAAACCAAAGCATTGCAGTTCCACTTTAAATGCATGATTTAAATGTGAAAAGGGAGGGTTTAAAAGCACGACAYGTCTCTTTTAAAGATGAGTGATAGAGTCCAGCAGCACAAGGATCACCCAGGGAGAGTGAGAAGTCTCACTGACAGCACAATGACCAACCTTGTGTGGAGCTCAGTCCAGATGGAAAGAAAGAAGTCTATTGATCAAGATCTGCGCTCAGTCTGCAAACCAGTCCTTAAAATAAACTCACTTAACTACTAATACTTCACAATGGGTCCAGTACATCACACCAGCTGTGCTCTTGATGGGTAGTTTTTTTATATTTGATAAATGTGCCACATGAGACATATGAAGATCATGCAGGAGACAAAGGAGCTTCAGATCTTGAAACACTGGTTTCAGTTTGGTTTTTCTTTTAACTAATAATACATTTACATTTTTTTTCTCTGTGATTTTTTTTTTGGACAATTTTCACACTTTTTTTTATTTTTTTGTAAATGTGCTTTAACAGGCTGTGGGTTTTTGACATCACAGGGGTGGTGGGTGGGGGGGGGGGGTTATGTTGATAAATATAGCCACTCAACTACACCCAGCTTCACTATGTCATGAATAAATAACACAGATGCAACAGTACCAGCTGAAAGCTCTTCCTTCTAATTAAAAATGTTTAAACTTCATAAAGAGCAAAAAGAAAAAGAGCACAAAGGGACTAATAGAGCTTAAAAAGCGGTGCTCACCGTTACACCACTGAAACGGGTGCATCAATGCAGCAGAGAGGGTGGGGGGGAGTCCTCCTCACCGCCGCCCGGCTCCGAYTCGTGTTTACCAACAAGCTGCAGGAGGAAAGCCCCCCCCTGAGGGAAGGACCGACAGCCAGCTGGGTGAAAGCTGACCGAGACCCCAGCTCAGGTGGGAGGTAGGGGGTAAAAATAAAAAATAAAAAGTCGGGAGAAAAAAAGCGAGTAAAAGCAGCAGATTATGAGCGGATCTTCCTCCCCCTCTGTCAGACTGAAAAAGCAGAAGTGATGGTGATGGGGATGATGATGATGTGGTGTCTCGCGCTCCTCACCTCACCCGGACGCTCGTGGCTCTGCTTTCATTAATAGACAACATGACACTGACCCAGGAGCAGCTGCTTCGTGTGGAGGGGAGGAGGAGGGGGGAAACGGGGCTCCTCCCGCTCCAACAGACGCCTCTGACGCACAGAGACCAATCCACAGCCCGAGGGTCTGTGTTGTTGTGACGGCACGACTGGACCGGCCGACAGGGCCGGGAGGAGGAGCGATCTGACCCCGGGGCACCAACCTGTAAAATACCCCCACCCCCACCCCACCCCCCCATAAATTCATCCTGAT